GGGGGGGGGGGATACTCCAATTTTGGGTTTTTACCCCCTCCCCAAGCAATTGGGCCCCCTCTAAAAGCCCATTTTGGATTCTGCATCAAGGCTGCCTGAAATTTCCCCTATTACAAACAACCCTGCAGGGTAGGCTGGTGGAGGGGGGGGCACAGTGGTCTGAGGAGCTTCTGTGGCTGCTGGCTCCAGATCTGGGGATTCATGTAAGTGGCTACATACCTACTTTTGCATTTATTTCTCTCGCCGTGTTTATATAGTGCAAAATTGGAGGTGGTGACCCTTTTTGAGAGCTGTTATGCAGCGATATTTCATTTTTTAAAAAAAAATTTATTAAACAATTAAAAACATTGAATGTAGTGGAGTTGTTTTGACATAACTTTTGGTCGTAATTCTAGTGAAATATAATAGAATATAGATTTTACATACATATATACATACATACACACACACACACACATTTATCCATCCTTATTTACATCTTCCAACACTTAGTGTTATTTAAGTCTCACGATCACAGGTGTCCTCTTAACAATTCTTTTCAATCTTGAACCCTTCCTTTCTGTCCCCACCCATAGTAAAGTCTATTCCAAATTACATAATATTCCGATTCATCTTCATTTCTTGCCGTGTTTATATAGTGTAAAATTGGAGGTGGTGACCCTTTTTGAGAGCTGTTATTCAATGCCATTTCAGTTTTCATGTAGGCCAATTAATTCAAAGCAACAATAAAGTTTATTCTGTTCTTCTGGTGGGCAGCTGGTCAGTTTCTGGAAGAATGTTAAAATAAAAAATAGAGCCAGTTTGGGGTAGACACTAGGAAAGCACCCAATCACCAGGAGACGGTGAATTCTAGTCCTGCCTAAGGCATGGATACTGGGTGTCTTTGGGTTAAAAAAACAGGAGAATGGGAATTCTAGTCCCACCTCAGGCATGAAAGCGCCTAGGTAACTTTGGGCCAATCCCTCCCTCTCGGCTGGACTTACCTCACAGGGTTGTTGTTAGGAAAATAGGAGGAAGAAGGTGTCTTGGATATGTCCGTCACCTGGAATTATTATTATTTTTGCAAAAAGCGGAATGTAAATAATCGGGCTCTTTGAGTAACATCCTTCTCCCTTTGTTTTTGCGCAGGTTCTGGGCACCGGAGATGGCCGCACAGTCAGCGCCGAAAGTCGTGCTTAAGAGCACCAGCAAGATGTCTCTTAACGAGCGGTGAGGAACCCAACGGCCACCTTCAACTCATAAGATCTTTTTATTTTTTACGTTCTTCTTTTTCTTTTTTTTTTTTTAGTTTTGTACACTCTGTCTGGTGTCCAGAGCAGGAGCGGTCTTTGCGATGCTTGTAAATCTACTCAGAGGCACCCGAGAGCCACGCGGGCAGCTCCCCGTTGCCCCGCCGTGGTACACCAGGTTGAAAGGGCAAACGTGTCGGCCTAACCGGCAACCAAAAAAAACAAAACCCGGTCGCGTTGGTGGGATGTGTCCTGAGGAAACTTCGCGCCCTCCTTTTTTTTTCTTCCACATGTGTTCATATTCTAGAGATGTGTGGTATGACGCCCGCAGTGTGGTAGCATGTCACCGCAGCTGCGGGAGGCTTCCTGCTGTGCCCAAGGCAGACACGCGTGACCTCGTGTGGTCTGTGCTGTAAGAGGCAGGCAGCTGGCCGCTCTGACCAGCCCGAAGGCTCCTTGGGGGCCTTGTAAGAGGCAAGTGCTTGGCTTCATCACCTGCTGCTTTTTCTCCTCTGCGCTCCCTCCTCTTCCTCCTCCTCCTCCGTGTCTCTCGTGAGTTCAAATGTCCGAATGTTGGCTGAATCTTTTGCTTTTCGTTCCCCTTCTGTGTTCAAATTATATTCCTAGGTTAGTCGGCCTAAATGTCCAGCAGGAGAGTGTCGTAACTCAGTCGTTTTAAAAGTCTACAGGTAGTAGATTTTTTTTTTTAGTAGTTTTTTAAAAAAATCTACAGGTAATATTTACCTGTATGAAGGCTGGTGTCAGGCCTCCGGCCATATCCCCAATCTCGAGTCTCGAGCCAGACTTCCAAAACATCCAAAGGATTTATTGGGAGTTAACATGCTGGCACTGCACTTTTATTATTTAGACTTTTAAGGCTTTATTATTCACATCCTGAAGCAAACGGGGGGAATAATCAATATGAATAAGCCTTGGTGTTTTGTTTTTTTTATTTAATCGTGCTGCATGGACAGCAATGGTGCCCAACCAATTTGGGAAGAAAAAAAAGGGTAAGCTAGGTTTATGGTTTTGGGACACTTCTCCTCCCAATGCCGGTTTCGGCACACTGAGATGGTGGCTTTGAGGAGGGGGTGGGGTGGGGCTTGCAGAGTTCGCCATTCTTTTACCTCTTCATTTCTCCTAGTCTAGGGGGTTGTAGCTTTGTCCAG